CCCAGGGAGGCGCTCAGGTGGCATTCTAACTAGGTGCCCGAACCACCTCAACTGGCTCCTTTCGACGCGAAGGAGGAGCGGTTAAACTCCGAGTCCCTCCCGGATGACTGAACTTCTCACCTTATCTCTAAGGGAGACGCCAGCCACCCTGCGGAGAAAACCCATCTCGGCCATTTGTATCCACGTTTTATAGTCTGACTTTTTTTAATATTATATACCAAGTTCTAACCCTAACCCTTTGCCCCTTTATTTTCTCCACTTTCACCTTCTTAGGGACGTAGAGATAGACGACCTGAGGGGCCAGCTTTACAAGATGCAGGAGGACTGGGTTGAGGAGGAATGTCACCGTGTTGAGACTCAACTGGCTTTGAAGGATGCGCGTCAGGAGATCCAGCAGCTCAAACAGGCCGTGGACACTGTTCGCGACAGGCTCAGTGATGCTGGGGGGCTGAGCGGCGACATAGGGGTCCAGAAGTACTTTCAGGACATCAACACTCAGAACCACAAGCTTGAGAACCTTTTGCTCAACATGGAGCTAGCCCAGGCTGGATTAGCCAAGGAGGGGGAAGCCATACCAGGCAGTCGGACCCGTGTTGGAGGTTCTGCACCAGCATCTGTATCAGGGGAAAGTCCTGGAATACCCAAACCGGCAGTAGGAGGAAGGGGGTCTTGTTCCTGCGACTGTTCTCCAGCCCGTTCTTTGACAAGGAGCTCCACCTACACTAAGCTGAGTGATCAAGCCCTTGGGGACAGGAATGGCAATGGCCCGGACTATCCTTGTTTGTCAGGTGATGGCACCCAGGACAGTGGTTTTGTGTGTTGTGGGGAAAGCAACGTCACCAGACGGGCCGACCTTCTGCTGGAGGCCGCATTCCTCTCTGAAGAAACAGCATCTTTACTCAACTCCTACGCACAGACCTTCTCCCAATCTCTGCCCAACTCCCTGCCCCATACTCTACGCAACCCCCTGCCCCATTCTCTGCCCAACTCATTGCCTCACACCTTCTCCCATACCTTGCCTCACTCCTTCCCTCGCAATATGTCCCACTCTGTTCCCCACGCCATCCAGCACTCCTCCACCTATGAGAAGCTGTGCACGGGCGAGCGGCTGGCATCCCTTCGTTGTGGTCTGGGTGGAGCGGGCTGTAGGAGCCATCCCTGCCTGTCCCACCACCACCTCTACCTGCACTCCTTGCGGGAGACCGGCATTCAGACCGAAAGCTGCCCCATCCCAGCAACGGCAGGTTACCCCTCTGATCTGGATACCATAGCGGAGCAACGTACATTCCGCTCTCAGGCCTGCAGCCCCACCTCCACCTGGATGTCTGATGAGGGCGATGAGGATCTGGACTCCATAACCACCACAACTTCAATAACCACCGCAACAATGATGAGTACGGCCACAGAGCCGATTCTGGTCACCAAAACCCCACCGGTCCCTTCCTTACCAAGGTCCGCTACTGATGCGTGCTCCATGGAAAGTCCTCTTTGTGGAGAAGATGTGGAGGAAGAGGAAAAGCAAGACAAGGAGAACAGAGAAAAGGAAGCTGTGACAATAGAACAACGGGAGGAAACAACGGTGGTCAGATTGGCAGAAGAAGAGCAGCAGACGCAAGTGGGCTCAATGGGAGGGAATGAGTTGGAAGTTCACGGAACAGAAGAGGATTTAACAGAAACATCAGCAGGGATGCAGGGTGAGTTTGGAGGAAGCTGTGAAGAAGTCAGACAGGTTGGGTCAACACTAGAAAACCTCAGCATGGAAGACAGGCAGCAAGAAGTTGGTCTAGCAGCAGGATCACCCCAGGTAGAGAAAGCCGAACTGAGTCCCAGTTGCTCAGGATTAACACCAGACGTAGAACAGCCTCACACCTCACAGCCGAGGAGATCCACTTCAGAGGAGATCGCCGGTGTCACTGTGGTGGAGTTGCATGATGAGGACAATGATGAAGATGAAGCTAAAGAACAAGGTGCAACAGGGGGAGCCACACCCAAGGAGGACGAGTCATCGGACTCTGGGACAATGGTAAAAACCTACTGGAGTCGTCACTTCCTGGTTGATCTTCTGGCGGTGGCTATCCCCGTGGTGCCAACCGTGGCGTGGTTCTGTCGCGGCCCCGTCCGTGGTGAACAGCCCATTTATCATATAGGGTCGCTGCTGCGAGGCTGTTGCACTGTGGCGCTGCACTCACTGCGCAGGGGAGGTGGGTTGAGGCACTACCCTGCAGGCGGGGGAGATATGGGTGGATCACAGATATAAGAGGAGAGTCTGGTCCGTCCTCCGTGGTACTTAACTACAACTTCTCCTGTGTGGGTATGGGTCCTTCGCTTGTTGGAAGATACCTGTAAGGAAAGTGGTAGAAACAACTTCCTGTCCTGCATTCTTCAAGGTTAACAGCTAAGGGGAACATCCGGGACAGGAATTCTGCATTTATGACCTACATCTCTAACTGGTTAGGTCTGTTCTGTTCTGGTCCTAATCCTTATCGTCTCCGACCCACTGGTCCTTGCTGTTGCTACCAAGATGTCTGCTAACACTACTGACTCCTGCAAAACTGAATGAGCTGATTAGAATGAATGATCTGTGCTTGAATGTTTAACGCTGATTGTTTTCTTTTTAAATGCAGGGAAATGCTAAAAGGTTCATCGATCTGTCAATCTACCAGGCTGTCTCGAAATAAAAATGTTCTAATGATCTTATGTATGTATAAAAATGTGTCCATGTACAACACTTCGCTCACTGACCAGTAAAGGGAGGATCCACTCTAATTCAGTCGTCACACATGTCCTACTGTATGACTGCAGACAGTTTTTTTTTACTTTGAAATCAAAAACATTGAGCTATCACTATCAAGAAAGACAACGTAGAACAATGCTGTTAAGAACCTTCAACTCAGTTAGAGGGCAGATCGATTATGTTGTTACTACAGATTACTGCTGCTTTAACTGTTTCTGTCGACAAAATTAAGACAGAGGACTTCTTGAATACAGACTTGTCTTGAACAGGAAATGAGGAAAATAACTGCCTCAGAAATGAGTTGGGGGTTATGATTTTGGCCAAAGAAAGATTTGAAGCAAAAACTAGGTAGGAACAAAACTAAATAAATAATTGTTTTTACTGTTTATCTTCTCCATGAACAGCATCTCTCTGGACGATTGACTGTGTAGCTACTCAGTTTCAACTCCTAAACTGTTAACCTCAACCATTAAAAGAATAGTTGGACACTTTTGGAAGTATGTTATTTGCTTTTTTGATGCGCGTTAGATGAGAAGATCAATGACACTCTCATATCCGTACTCTAAATATGAATCTAAAACCCACAGGCGGTTAGCTTAGCTTAGCAACAAGATCAGAAGTAGGGGGGAACAGCTAGCTTACTCTGTCCTATCCACCTTCCAGATTCTCTAACAGAAGTTTTAAATTGTTTTGCATTGTTTTCCTTGTATTTATCTTCATGGCTTTGTTCTTGGATTCAGGCTATAAGAGAGAGTAATTAGGAACAACATGGACGTTACGTTTTAAAGTGGATTTCACCTGTCCTCAGTCATACACTGAAGCGTGCATTCAAAGCAAACTCAGCTGAACTGAGAAATAAGATAAACTCCATTTGGGTTGCTTTGGTCGGACACTTGTTTGTAGATACTCACTAACTCAGTTTGACACTTTGATGTAGATCTGAATAAAGTGAGTTGTGCTTAGTCTGTGCTCTGTGCTGTATATTCCTGCTAACCTGATGCTCTCGTGGTTTAACTGTCAATGGTATGTATTTCAAGTCCGCTGTACAAGAGTTAGTCAGTCACTGCGAATAAAATCAACATTGTTTAATAGATTATTCTGCAAAGCATTTCTGGACACAGAGTACATGTTAGTGAACTCAAAATGTAAAATCAAAAGATATGTAGGTTGTTATCACTTTTAGGATCAGGGTGTTTAATTGGTTTGAATGTGAGGGATTTTATTTGAAATGTCGGTACCACTTCACAATAAGACTACCCTTATAAAGGATTCATAAAGGGTTTATAATTAGGTTATGGATTAGGTTGTAAACACTTCATTAATCATTAAGAACAATTTATAAACCAGTTCTAACATAGTTTTCATACATCAACACAGGCTCACTATTTGGCAAGATGACTAAGCCTTATATTGGCTACTTAGCGAGAATCAACTCAGTGAGAAACAGATACCAAGGATGCTGGCTGATGAAGAAGATGAAGTAAGCTAAGTAGCCAATATAAGGCTTAGCAGTACAGATAGATGTGGGCTCACTATTTGGCAAGCAACTGGTTGCTCTGCACAGTTGCTCTGTTTATCTCATGTCTTATAAAAGCTTATTAATGATTTATAAAGTGTTCACAACCTAATTAATTAATTAATTACAAACTATTCGTAAACCCTTTATAAGGGTAGTCTTATTGTAAAGTAGTACCGAAATGAAATGTCTTATGCTTGCTGATCTCGTGCATATTCTTTGGTTCATGTGTACTAAGGGCAAATAAGCAGCCTGTAACTGTATAATCAAAACGTGTCTAAATGTCAGACTCGCCCTAATACAACCAGCAAGAGTCGCCTGACACCAACTGAACTGTTTAATTATTCGGTGAGGAAATAAGTGGAATTAATCTTTTTTAGTTTTTTTAGTTGACATATTTTGCACTATTGTTCACTTTATGAATTTTAGGCAATTACTTGAATTTGAATTTGAGATTGTATGTGTATCCAAAGTGTTGTGTCCACTGATTGTTTTGTTGGTCTGCCATTTTTCAGATAGTGCTGATCATGTTTAGAGCAAAAATAAAACAGGTGTGTAGCTAAAATAATGCAGAAAATTCAGGTAGATCTTTATTAAAAATATTAATACAATACATGCCATTATTTCTGTGAATGCTGTAAAGCAGTTGCCTTTCATTCATGCTTTTTGATTTCAGCTCTTGACCACAATATGTATCTACAAGCCGTACAAATAATGGACATTTAATTCTAAATGCTGATGTAAAAACACACACTGGTAGAGAATGAGCAGTGTTTATGCTACGTGATCAAATTATGTAATAGTCAGACGTCAGTGACAATCATGACAAGCCCCGTCTGTGTTTTGTTTTTTGCAGCGGCCATTAGCAATGCATTGAGATCCATGAAACGATTGAAGTAATGCCTTAGAAACAAAGGACTGCCTCTTCTCCACTTCTCCATATTTGCTCATCCAGAACCTCAAGATCACTGTCATTGTCATGAGTTGTGTTCCCATCTCCTGACTTTATGATCTGTTGGGCTCAAATGGATTAGGAGGCTAAAACTATTTCATGTTTTACAAAAAGCCATATACTCCCGTGAGAATGTGTTTTGATGTTTTGTGAAACAAATCTATCATGATAGAAGTCATGTAATTGAGCTACATCAGCGTTTGATGTAATTTGATTGGACGCATTTTGATTGGACGCAGGATGATGTAAAGAAGAAAGGGTGTATTTATTGAAATCCAGGTTTAGGAGTTCAGGCTTGTTGTTGGGTGCAACAATCATCTCAATCCCTTTTATTTACCTCTATGCACAACAGTCTATACTTTAGCTGCTTATATTGTAATATATGTGTCTGAAGAGTTTTTTTAAACTGTTGTGCATTGTTATTATTGTATTATCCCCAAAAGCCCTGTTTTTTTTTTATCTTGTGCTATTTTGATTTTGTGTAAGTTAATATGTTGCGCAAACAAGACATATACCTGAGGGGTGTGCTATCATAAGGGGTCGAAAATCTGCCCAATGTATTAAGTCATCAATTTTGTTTGGATCACACTCAACATGTTGACACATTTGACTGTTATCAACACAACATCTAAGGTGTTTTTTCTCAAATGGCCTTTCATAACTATTGTAGCGTTGTTATTTAAAAATAGAGCATGATAACATGACCAAGCTGTGTTAACACAATTTTGAATGTCAAATCACAAAAACATTTTTCGAAATTCATGAAAAAAGGCAACTTTTGCTGGAAATGTATTTTGCTGGCTTTCCATAATTTTTAGTGTTAACGTGTAAACATATAGCATGTCAACATGACCAAACTGTTGTTTCAATGTCAATATCATGAAACACATTTATTTGCTCAATTGGCTTTTCATAAAACTCTACGTATAAACACATGAACAAATCTTTAATACATTATTGGCACTAATGACCTTCTGTAGATTGTCAGATTTCTTCAGAATAACTTCATAGAACACCCCTCTGGTTCACACAAGTTATTAATCCAATGTATTCCATACACAAAATACTCAATTATCATTCAACACATTGTGCACATGGTATTGTCTTGTACACAACATTCATAATGTTTTGTGAATTACATTATAAATGTTGCACCAAAGGGATAATATCTGCATGCAAGAAAGCAATGAAAAAAATAATATATGTTTTTCTCTTGTGATATAAGATTTTAAAACATACCTTTTTGGATTGGTCCTGTATTCAATAGCTTTTTTTTATGTTTAATGTATACTGTGTTTCTTACAGGCCTGTATAACATATTTGTGTCTGCAGGCCCTTGTCCTGAACTTGATTACATTCTTGGAGTCATTTTGGCCCCTACATTTTCCTATTCAATGAATAACACTATGGCCCGCAGGCCTTATGTAGGATTCCAACCATTGTTATAAATGCTTCAGTTCCAGAAAAGGGTTGATTACAGGGTGTAATTTATTTATTTATTAAAATTATATTCTGACTTTCCTCCCATTAATCTCATACCGCACTTTATCAGAACCCATTCAAAGATGATTGCAATGCCAAGGAGGCCATACACCTGAGTTTGACACACTATTTTTGTCCCATAATGCACCTGAACTTCCTGCTGTAGCGTTGGTGGTGCCAGTGTACAGTTTGAGTGGAAGGGGGAGACTGAGTGATTATATACTACGTATATCCTAAAACACATAATGATGCTGAATATTTTGGGGGGAGGTGGGTGTGTTTGGCTTCTTTATATTGGTCAATATTTGAATGTGTATTGTCATGTTAGGCTTTATTCCTTGTCTGATTGTTTGAGTATGTGTTCCATAGCCTATGTAATGATAGTTAATGTAAACAGAGGTTATACCAAGTCATTTAACATACTAACATGGAAGGAGTTTAATGCCTTGAATAGGAATTTAGCTGACATCCTTAATATTTACAGATAATGTAATGTAAATTAACTATTTTAATGGCAATAGTAGTGTGTACAGTTAAAGACATCAGCATTCACACTCCCACCACACTGTATAATGGAAGACCAAAAGCCCCTATATTAAACAGCATGGAGGAAACGTATCTGTTGTCTGTGTGTTTGTCTCAACCTTATTTCTCTTAATGTTTTTATTGCTTATTTTTTTTACCTGAAATAATTTGTTATGCTTATTTTCAGGTTCAAAAGTATGTTTTGTGCCTCTACTGTGTTCCATAAACAATGTAGACGTTGACCTGGAGAGTCTAGGGAGCAAAGAAAACGAGTTCTAACCAAAAGTGTTCACAGTAAGGTGGATTATCCATCTATATTATTAAAGGGTATTGTTATATCTCAAAGCATGGATAATAAAGGTCCAAAACTGTACAAGACAAGAAGAAAAGGTGTTATTTGGGTGAACTATCATCAAATCAAGCACCAGCCTTTCTTTTATTGCAGCTAAACCATAGACTGTATATAAAATGGACGTAGTGTCCGTGACGTCACCCATAGGATTCTGCAGAGTTGCCGAGAAGCCCTTAGTAGGCGGAGT